AGCCACCATGCCCAGCACACTCTCGCTCTCCTTCTCTCTCTCTCTCGCTCTTCGCTGATGTTGTCACCCATTATCGTTTGCGTGTGAGTGTGAGTGTGTAGAAAACACATGTTTGGCGCCTATTGTTGTGGGCGCGCATACCAGCTGAGTGGGAAAGAGCGAGTGCGAGCGAACCAAGACCTGTGTGCTGGCATGTGGGTGTCCGTCTCTCTATGTGAGTGTGTGTATATGTAAGGGTATACGTGTGCAAGCATCAATGCCGGCAGCGCTGTGGTGTGGTAGCCGCAGCTGTTTTTTCGGCTTGCTCATAACTTTGATGCAAACATACACACATACATGTATGTATGTACATATATATATCTGTATGTTTTTTTGCCAAAAAGTTTTGCAAAAATGAGCCGAAGCTGCAACGTGTGTGGCCTTCTCAAATTCCGTTATGTTTGTAAATACATACAGGCTCACATGTGCATGTGTGTGTGTTGCTAATTTTAGCAAAAATTCGGCATGCAAAAGCTGAGAGCTATGAAAAATGCTAATGAACCGCAACCGCGCCGCAAAACACGCGCTTTTGTTTGCCAAAATGAAAAGAAGACCGAAGAAAAAAGAAGAAGCAGCAGCAGCAGCTGAAGAGACCCACAAAACAGCATCAAGAGCAACATAAACTTAAATTTGTATGTCAGCTGACTTGTTTTCTTTGCCATGTTTCCATTCCCCTACCCCACCCCTCTACCCTTCAAGCAGAGCAATTTTAGTCCGCATCGCACACACACACACACACACTGCCGTTCGTTCGCACTCATACTCTTGCACTCGCACTCACACCTGTCGTTTGGCCGGCAGAGCGAATAGAGATAAGCAGCAGAGAACAAACACAGCGCTAATTGTTTGCCGCCAACAAAACGTGCGACGCAATAGAAGCGAAAAAGGCAAACGCAATAGCAAAAGCAAATGCAATTGTTGATAAGAGAAGCTAAACTAGGTTTTTCGAATGCATATTTTAGAAAATGTGCAACATATCAATAGATAAATGTCGATAAATCATACCCTGCAATCTAAATGTGTGTGTGTGTATGTATGTATGTATGTATATGTGTATGTATTCATTTATTTTGTCGTAATTCAAAGCAACTAACTTTGTCTTTTTTTGTTGTTGTTATATTTACTACAAGTTGCTATGTTGTAGGGCATGCGTGCGCCCGCACGTAGGCCACACATTTGCCAAAGGGGGGGGGGGGGGGGGGGGGTGGCGCATAGCTTTTATTTTCCATGCATTTGTGGTGGTTGCTTTTGGATGGCCCGGGCGCGCCCACTTACTACTCACACACACATGGATAATACATACACACAGACAAATACCGTAATTTTGTGCTTACACAGAGAACTGACAACTCAGCTGATGACGAATCAGCAGTTGGCGCGCTCATTGCAAGTATTTGGCTATTTTTATGCATTTTATTCAATCAACAAACAAGCAACAACAACAACAAATTGTAGTGTAGGGCCGCAAGAAACAGAAACAGGGGACGCCTCGTCGTCAGACGCGCCATTTATAGAAACGAAGCAGACAGCAAGCAGCGCAGCAGCATCGAGTCAGCTGCTGCTGCCGCTTTACTTACACACGTTTCGTATTGCGCGAAAGAGAACGCGTCACTGGCACTTCCCATACGTATTGGAAGCAACTGGAAGCATTAAGAGAACGGCACACGTGTTTACGTTCACGCCTAATTCGGTGAGCGCCAGAGCGAGAGAGCAAGTGCAAGTGGCGTCGGCAAAAGCTTGAGTCGTCCACATGTTTTTTCGCTACAGCCGCTGCTCCGGCTGCCGCTGCTGCAGTACCATTTCCGTTTCAAACGAAACGAAACGAGATGGCAACGAAACTTAACGAAGCCGCGCTCTCTTACTCTACCGCTCTCACGGACTGTCCGTGTGTGTGTGTGTGTGTAAGAGAGCACAGCACGCTAGCAACATTTGTGACGATGGCTACGAAACGCCGGCGAATATTGAAAAACTTTTCGTATTGGAACTGTTGCTGCTGCTGCTTGCCTGCGCTTGGTTTGGTGGTGTGTTTTCGTAGCGGCCGTCACCACCCGTGTGTGTTGGAAAAAAGTACAGTCGCCGCAAAAACGCCGCTGCCTGCGCGCAGCCGTTTCTGCTGCTGCTTTGCTGCTTGTTGGCTGTCTGGTTGGTTGCTTGGTTTGTTGGTTGGTCGGTTGCTCGAACGCGTTGGCTGGGATTCTTGTTGGAACACAGCGACGAGTGTCTCGCGCGCGTTTGAGCGGCTTTTTGTTTACACTCACACCCATAGCCGTCTCTATACATGCATGTGTGTGTGTGTGTGTGTGCCCATTGTACAGCTGTGGCTTTAATTTTTTTTTTGCGTCTGAGGCAATTTTTTTATGTAGCTTTTTGCCGGCATTTTCCGACTGCGTTGCAGATATGACGACGACATTTTCTTATTAGCCAAGGCCTTAGTTGCCGGTCTCCCTGCAGCTGCCATATGATGTGTGGCATTCCTTGCCAAACTTGGTCCAATAAGAAAGCGATAAGAAGTGTGTTTTAAAGCTAAAAGCTTTTCGATAGGGGTATTTAGCAGTTGGAAAACACACCAATAAGAAGGTTGCCAATAAGAAACTTACTAAAGCATCTTCTAACATATTGCTAATAAAATGTATATTTAAAGCTTTCCAATTGGGTTTAAACACAATAAAATACGAGTTGAGGCTTTGAAAAGCTTTCTGATTGGTTTCTAACATACCAAATCAATTGGAAAACCTTATTTTGAACATAATAAAGTGGAAAAACCAATTTTAATTAATTTGGTTTTAAACAAAATGCATTTTGATTGATTTCTGGGTACTCTGTAAACAAATTTCAAAATGTATTCAAAATATTCTTAGAGTATAGTATCTATCTAATTGCAACACGTCTTAACTTTCGCCTAGTAAATTATGTGGCAGCGCACGCCTCTTGCTAATTCTAGCTGCTGCAGCTTTCCAATGCTAAGCAGCATTCTTCCAATATGTTTCCAATGCAATCCAACAACAACAATGCGCTCGCTAAAGTCAATGAACGGCCTTTAGGAGCAGCAATAGCAACAAAACTGTATAGAATAAATTAACATAGAAAAAAAAGTACATGTTAAATGCGCTTTGTTTATTTTATTTATTTATCTGTTTTATTTTTATAAAATATGCGCGCGACATTGCAATGTGCTGATTTTTATCACAGCCAAAGCTGAGAAAACTGTACTCAATCTTTGCCTCTCGCTCGCTCTCGCAGCCGCTCTCTATTTACTATGTGTGCCCAACATATCAAAACAACGTAACAGCCAGACAGCTGTGCATTGAGCGAGAGAGCGAGAGAGAAGGAGAGAGCAGCAGTAGCAGCTGTGTGTAGCCGGTGTCGTGCGCTAGTTGATGATGTCGCTGTTGTTGTGGTTGCAGTTGTTGTTGTTGTTGTTTTTGTTGTAGTAGTGACCTCCGACAACAAGCGGCGACGTCCAGTAAAATCGTGAAACAAGTTTTATGGCTGCAGCAGCAGCAGCAGCAGCAACAACCACAGCAGAGATTTATTATTTTTTAATCAAAGCCAAAGCCAAAGCAAAAGCAAAAGAATTTCCACAAAGCTTCTCGCATTCCATTGCCATGATGCGGCGTCTGCAGCAAACGCTGCTCTGCAGCTGCTTGCATTCCTTGTGGGTGTTGCCAGATTTTTTTAATGTTTATTTTGCTTTTTTTGTTGTTTTGTTTTTTTTTTGATGCAATTCGCCTACGCAGTTGGCTGCTTTCTATGCCAGTTTTCACCGTTATGCGTGTGGCCCACGCACATTTGTGAAACAAGCGAAAAAAATGCGCATCAACAGCTTTTGCATGCGCTCTTAAACGCACACAAATGCAGCTATGCTGAGTACTGTGTACTGCGTGTGTGTGTGCGTTTGGTTGTGCTGAGAACGCGCGCATTTTGAAGGACACAAGTTCCTTCACCTTTTGGGCAAGTCACAACACAACAGAACAGAACAGAACACAGTATAACATAACGAAGAAAACAACAACTACATACCTCAGCGGGCTTACTACACTATTTACTATAAGCAAGCGCTTCCACTACCAATGCAAATTCCAGCACGGTAGCAACAACAACAACACCAACAACAACACTCGGCACTTATTTGTGTATTTGTGTGTTTGTATGCGTGCATTCATTTGCGGTAATTATCAAAGCTCACGCTCTCTCTATCACTCTCCCGCTCTGGCTCTTCGGCAATTATGCTGTGCTGCTTCGCTCTGCGGCGTCTTGTGAATGAGTTTCATTGTAAACAGCGCAGACTACGTTGCTGTTGCTGTTGTTCTTGTTGGTGTGTGTAGAATGTGCATGCAGATTTATGCCTCTGTGTGTGTGTGTGTGTAATTACGTTTACACGATGCACAAAATTGAGATATCAACGAATTTTGCAAAGGTTTCAATTATTTTCATTTTAGTTGCTGAAAAACGTTTATTTTTTAATTTAATATATGTACAATGATTTCCAAAGATCAATTTGAGTGAATGGATATATTCGAAGGTTTTGAAAAATTTTAGGCTAATATGAATCAGAATATCAGTCAGTCTGTCATTCCATTTGTCAATCAGTCAGACAATATAAACTATTATCAGTCAGGATGTCAGTCCATCAATCAATCAGTCAGTCTATATGAACCATTAACAGTCAGTCTGTCAGTCCATCAACCATGAACCATTATTAGTCAGTCCATCAATCAATCAGACAGCCGATATGAACTATTATCAGTCAGTCTGTGAGTTCATCAATCAATCAATTAATCAGTCCAGTCTGTCAGTCCATTTATCAATCAGTCAGTCAGCAAGAACCATCTAATGATTGAGATTGAAGTAATATTAAATAAAATATTAAGAAACTAGAATAATAATTACATTTTATGTTATGTTATGTTAAATGTTATCGTAACATAAAATTGATAATGTGCTTCTGTTGCTCTTTGCAGGCTGCCATATTGCAACAGACCTTCCAATATATTGTGGAGCTGGAGAACCAGAAGACACAGCTGCTGACGCAGAACAGCGAACTGAAGCGACAGGTGGGCGAGCACGAGGCCAATGGAGGAGGCGGAGGAGGAGGAGGCGCCTCGGGCGACAATTACAACAACAGCAATGCGAACGAGACGAACGGAGGAGGAGGCGGCGGGGCGAGTGCGGTGGCCATCAAGAAGCGCAAGCTGACGGACAACGTTATCAACATGCAGACGATCAGCGACAGCTCCGACGAGGGACTCGGCTCCATGTCCCCGGAGCCCATGACCCTGCTCTCCGCGGGCGGCGGAGGCGGGGCAGCAGCGGCGGCGGCAGCAGCAGCAGCCGGAGCAAAGCTGAACAATGCGAGCATAATTGCGGCCAAGGAGCTGCTGGAGATGAAGAAACAGCTGGAGAAGGAGCGCAGCCTGCGGCGGCTGCTCGAGGACGAGCTGCAAATGATCAAAAGGCAGCTGTACAGCGTGGCGACGGCGCCGCCGGGCACCGCGGTCGCCGCGGCAGCGGCCAACAGCAGCAGCAGCGGCGGAAGCAGCGGCGCCTACATTCCACGCGAGGTGATCGAGCACACGGACAACTTTGTGCGCGCCGAGGAGCTGGAGGAGCTCGGCGGCACCGTCTCGTATGTGGAAATCGATGAGATGACCGGCCAGCAGCAGGTTGTGGTCTGCTCGAGCATCGAGGAGCTCGAGTCGGATGCGGCAGCGGAAATCATAAGCGAGGATCAGGTGCACGAGGAGGTGATACTGTCGTCGAACAGCTCGACGGAGTCGGAGAACGAGGTGAACGTGAATGCCATTGCCAAAGCCTATGCCGAGGGCATGAGCACGCCCATCCTGCAGGCGGCCATCAAGGCGACGCCCAAGGTCGAGGTGGAGCGCATCAACATTAACGAGAAGATTGTCAAGGTCAAGACGGAGAAGCTCGACCAGCCGACGACGACCACGACCGTGATGGGCGCCACGGCCGTATTCACACGCTCCCGCCAGAACCTGGAGACGATTGTCGAGGCCATACGGCACCTGGAGGGCGATCACCTGTTCGCCGACGGCGACCAGCAGCACAAGCTGCAGCAGCATTATCAGCACCAGCCGTCGCAGTCGCAGTCGCAGCATCATCCGCAGCAGCAGCAGCATCATCCGCAGCAGCAGCATCATCCGCAGCAGCATCATCCGCAGCAGCAGCATCATGCGCAGCAGCTGGAGCTGCATCCGCAGCAGTCGCATCATCAGATCATAAGCACAACTGTTGCCGCCGGCTATCGGCTGGCGCAGGATGCGCCGCTCGCCTTGACCACCGGCAAGCAGCATGCGGCGCTTGCCGAGCTGCGTCCGTTCCTGCAGTTGAAGGGCAACAAGCAGGTGATCATTACTGCCAAGTCTGCCAAGGATGTGGGCGGCACTGTTAGCAGCGTCACGCCCACAGCGATATATAAGGTGCAGACCAGCAGCAGCAGCGGGGCGGCGGGAGCAGGAGTGAGTCACCATCAGCCGGTGACCATCACAACGTCGCTCAAGCAGTGTCGTCCCGGGGTCATTGTCGCCAAGCAGCTGCCGTCCTCCTGATTGCCCAACAGCAGCAGCAGCAGCAGCAGCAGCAGCAGCAGTAAGAATAACAGCAACATTAACAGCAGCAGCAGCAGCAGTATTAAAGGCGCGCGCAATAACATAACTGTAACAGCAGCAGCAACCGTAACAGCAGCAGCAACTCCTAAACGGCGCAGCTATGTTAAGCAACAGCAGCCGCAACAGCTGCAGGTGCGTTTTAACAGCGCTGTTAGGCCTCAATAGAGCTTGCGCGCTGTTAACACAGATCTTGCGCCCTGCTCTGTTAAGCTGCTGCTAAAAACAAAACAAAACAACAACAAAAAACACAAATTAACGGCAATTGTATAAAATTAGTAAAAGAAAAACGAAAAGAATTTTGTGCAGTCGAACTCGTAATTAATTGATTATTTTGTGTTTAAAAACAAAACATTTTTCCATTTGCAAAAAGAATACCACAAACTCACTTTAAATAGCCACTGTAATTAAAAAGCAACAACAACAATTTGTTCATTTATTGTTTAAGTCAATGTGTGAAAAACAAAACAAAACAAAAACAAAAACAAAACGAAAGAAAACTACAACAGGCAGTAACAACAAAACAGAGTACAAAAACAAAATAGACATAAAATTTTATGATTTTCTGTTTATTACAACACACAAAAACAAACACACACACATACATACATACAAACACCTAAAAAGAAAAAAGAAAAATACAGCAAGTTAAGCAAAATTAAAAATTTATTCAATAAGCAACAAAAACGAAAAAATATATATACAAATATATATATAAACAAAAAACAAAAAAAAACGGTACATGCTATATAGAAATACATATGTGTATGTATAATATATATAATGAGCATGTTGAACTCTATAAAAACCATCGCATTAATTTTTACATTTTTAAATTATTTTCTATTATTTAATTAATTTTAAAATTACACACACACACACACACACACAAACACATACAAAAAAAAAACAACTTAATTGTATTTTTTCCTTTTGCCCAAAACAAAAAAAAAAAACTAAATGAAAAAAACGAAAATGCGAAAAATTTTTAGAATGGAACTTATCGAGTTTTTGTTGATTGTATAATCTAATTATAAGAGAGCGCGTGGTAAGAAGTGAGAGGATCGTTTATTATATAAACTACACACATACATATAAATATATATATATATTTACATATATATGTATTTATATATATATATATACATATATATATACTTTATAAATACATGCAAAGTACATACATACGACATAAGCTAACGCAACATTACATAATATTACTACTAAATACGAGTACATTAAACATATATATATATATAAAAATCCATAAATACACACACATATACATACATAGATATATATGTATGTCAAGTAAATAAATATGCTTTAGTACATAAGTGCAAGCAGCAGAGTTGAAAGTTTCAAAGTATAGAAGAGTAGAGAGGCCGCTGCAACCGCAGCTCAGAAGAAGAAGAGGAAGAAAAAACAATGAACGCCCCATGCATGTGTGAGTGTGTGTGCGTGTGTGTGTGATTGGCTGGCGCGCTTAGACGACAAGAGAGAGTGTAGATTGCCTGCAGCTCTCTGCTTAGCCGCTGGAACGCTGCGCGCACGCAGAGCAGTCAGCTTTTGTCCGGCCCCAAGACACCAAGTGTCTACGCGCGGCGGCGGCAGCAGCAGCTCTACTCTGCAGCGCAGCGTAGCAACGGCTTTGGCCAACCCCCACCACCCACAACGGAGAGAGAGTTTGAGAATGATGGAGAGAGCGGCGCTCCACCCATACACATATAACACATCCACACACGATGCACGCGCGCACACACACGCGCACACACACATTTGCACATGCATCGGGCATTTTGGCAATTGAAGAGCGCGGACGTTAGATTTACAGCTAAACAACAACAAGAACAGCAGCAGCAACAACAACAACAACCACATGTTTATGCATTATATAAGCCAGATCATACATACAAACAACATATTACTACGTACATTCATGCTCTATATAAACAACAAACAAAATACATTAAATAATTAAAAAAAAAAAAACAAAAAATACGAAAATAACAAAAAAATTATGTCAAATAAATGGTTTTTCCTTTTCCCCTCAAAGAAATGCAATTTGTGCTTTTAATTAACCAATTGGGAAGTCCAAAAAATAAACTATATTAACATATATTTAGCTAAGTATTGGAAATGTTGGACTCTTTGGGTCAAGAAAATCTTATAATTACTTTTTTGTGGAAACGGGATCGTAGAATACCTTTAATCCTTAAAAAAATATCACTTTCAGGTAATGTGGATATTTCTATTTTGATTATCGATAACGTACATGATTATAGATGTATTCAAGATAAAAAAAAAATTTATTTTAGATTTTTTGAACTTTTTTTGTCTTTATTTTTGAACTGTTGAAATAAATAGAAAAATTTTCATGTTTCATTAGCAAATTGTGTCGAAAATCGGAAAGGCAATATTTTTGTATGAATAAGTATTAATTTGTATGTGTATGCATGTACGTATATATGTACGTATGTGTGTACGTATGTATGCATGTATGTGTATGTATTATGGTGTGTATGACAATATGAATTTGATGTGCAGGCATAGCAGTATGCATGTATGTGAATGTGTTTGTGTGTATGTTGTATAACATGTATGTGAATATACATGTATGTAAGTATATATGTATGAAAGTTTGTATTATTGTCGAAAAGTAAACAAGTATTTTGTACGAAGGCATATAATTATTTTAACGTGTGCGTGTGTGTATATGTATGTGTGTGTGTGTTGGCGTGTGTGTGTTAGTGTATGCATGCATATATGTATGCATTTATGTATATATGTATGCATGCATGGGTGTTTTTTTAATACGAAACGCAGACCAAGCTGAGCTGCAAATTTAAATAAAACGAATTTCTACCAAGTGCTCTCCTCCTCGATTCTCAAGAATTCAAGTAGGCCCTGTAGTTTTTGGTGCAATTTTAGTAAGTGGGCGATAAAGTTACTGGTGAGTTGGTATGTATGTATGTATATATATGTATATGTATGTATGTATGTATGTATGTATGTATGTATGTATGTATGTATGTATGCATGCATGCATGCATGCATGCATGTATGTATGTATATATATATGCATGTATGTATGTATGTATATATATATATATATATATATATATATATATATATATATATATATATATATATATACATATATATATATATATATATATATATATATATATATATATGTACGTATGTACGTATGTATGTATGTAAATATGTATGTACATATATATGTACATATTCATGTATGTAAATATGAAAATTTCATAGAGATTATGAATTTCGATGAGCTCTAAGAATATTTACCAAATCATTAATCTTCCTCCTCGAAATTGGCCATATCGGAGGCAACGAAGGAAACGGAAATAGCCGAGGATAGGATTGAGTTATGAAAAATAAAGAAGCAGTTCAGGAAAGAAATTGAAATAGACGAATGCTGTTATTTTAGTAGAAGGATGGAGCTGTGCTGGTGCTAAACAGGTGAGTCTATTGAAGATATATTAATTACAAATAAACTAAGCAATTGACTTTATATATGCACTTTAATATGAATAAGTATAGATATAAGATCTTATATCTTACATAAGATGAATATAGGAATTATCACAAGCTCTATACAAATATGAACTTAAGCTAAATTAACAATAGAGTAGCTAGAGCTGCTCCTCCTCAATTTGCACATCGGTAGAGAAGACATACATCTCCCTGCGTCGGGCGAACAGCAGCTCCTGTCGCGTGGGATGCATTGCCAGGGAATGCACTACGCCGCCATTGTCACCTGGAAGCGAACAAAAGTTTAATCAGACATGATTTTTAAGGGTCAATGCAAATTTTGGTATACTTATGCGAATGCGCTGCAGGACCTTCGCTTCGAGCAGATCCCATACGTAGGCATCGCCGGCACAGGAGCCGCAGGCAATGTGCGCATCGTTGGACAAAATGCCGCACTCGATGTGATAGTCGTCGGCCTGATGGCCCTTGTATTCAGAGAGCAGCCCGCCCGACTCGCAGTCCAGCAAGCGCAGCGTACTGTCCTGACAGCCAGCGAGTAGGCACTGCTCGTCGCGCGTCTGCGCCAGATAGGTGACCGGCTGGCCAATCTTGTCGCAGGTCAGCTCGCCCACGCGTATATCGTAGTGGCGCACACAGCCGTCGAGGGAGGCGGCAAAGATCTTGTGCTCGTTGGTGAGCACCGCGGTGATGCAATCGCACGCCTCCTTCATCACCTGCACCGGATCCAGGCGGCGGGTGCGTATGTCCCAGCACATGACCGCGTTGTCTCGCCCCCCGGATATCGCTATGGAGGAGTCCTCGTTAAAGCACACGCAACGCACGCCGCCGGCATGGCTGCGCAGACGACGCACAGGCGTGCCTGTGGAGGAGTAGATATACATATATATATACCAGGAGGTGATTTGATTTACTCACCTGTGGAGACATCCCAGTAGATGATGCTCTTGTCCAGGCTGGCGGAGACGATGTAGCTGCTGTCACAGCTGCCGGCCGCATCGGTTACCTCGTCCGCATGCCCTCCGTAGGTCTTCAGCAGCAAGCCCGAGCCTGGATTCCAGAGTTTTATCTTTTTGTCCGAGCCACAGCTCATGCAGTAGATGCCATCCACTAAAAACGGGGAGTACATCTAAATATGGCAAACCAGAGGAAACCATTTTCATGGCTTACCATTGTAACGCACCGCACGCACAGCTCCCTGGTTGCAGTCGATGGTTTTGCTGCAGTTAAAGTCAAGAAAAGCCGGCATTTGTTTATATTTACTAAATGCATACAACTTAGAGATGAGCATTCAGCGAGTACGCCTGCAAAAGTTACTAGTTGCAATCGATGATCGTAATTGAACGATGATCGTATCACGACACGAGCACGACACATCACCAACGCAGCACGCATGACTTATCGATAAATAAATATTTTCACATTCATAAGCGAAGCTTGCGAAATTATAAAATAGTGTATTTAATAGCATTAATTGAAATATATGAGCAGTGTTTTATAATTGCGTGACATTAAAAAGTGAGCCCACCAATTGATATCACAGTCACGGTCACGGTACTTTTTGAGCAGTTCTAGTCAGTGCTGGTGGCAACGCTGAAACAGTGCTAGCAAATGCGCACGGGTCAAATAAAATGTGGCCTAAAAATGGCAAAACGCGTCGGACTGGCCAAAGCAGAATGCCAACAATAATAAAGCAGCGGCAACAACAAAACAGTCGACGCAACACACGGGTTTTTTCCGCAACAAACAAATCAAATAAATGTTAAAAGAATCAACTAAAATTGTGTTAAATTCGTGCAAAAAATATATTGTTGTTACTGCAATTAAATCAAAGTTAAAGAAACGACGTAAATTCCTTGGCATACGCAGCAAGCACGTGTGTTGGCGGGGGGAGGTGAGGCGCGCTATTTTGGATGCTACGCAATAAGGCAACGATACGCAATTTCAGCTGCTGCTGCTGCGGCCGCTGCTGCTACGCACCTGCCAAAACCGAAGCGCTGCTGCGGCCGCTGTCGCTGCTGCTGACGTGTGCAAACGAGTGCGAAGCGACGACAGGATATTTAACGGCAAAAACAAAAACAACAACAACAACAACAAGAGCAGAAACAAACTGCACGACAAAATTAACGAAGTGTCAGTGCAATTGAACGACACGACGCACGCATACACACACATACAGCAATAAAAAGCTAACGAAAAGACAAATTGCTGTAAAAAAAAATGCAGCGCCACGGAGAGCGCAGCAGATTGCATAAAAATCCTGCTCAAGAATAAGTGCACACACACACATACTAATAGAGAGCCGCACATAGAAGCGCGACAAAGTAAAACAAGAAAAAAAATAAGTCAGAAAAAAGGGCAAACACAGTGCGCACAAACAAGGTGGAAAGTAAAAAAGTTGTTTGTCAACTTGTTGGCGTCCATTGCACACACACATACATACACACATACAAACAAACATTCCCCGCCAAACACCCGCGCAGCGCCCCTCAAATGTTGCAGCAACAAAGTGTCTGGCTGTACTGCTACTGCTACCAAGTGGAAATGCAAGTCCAGTGTGCATGCAACAGCGCCTGCGGCCAGTGCTAAGCAACAGCAGCAGCGCAGCAACAAGAAGAAGCAGCAGCAGCAGCAGCAGCAGCAGCAGTAGAAACCAGCAGCAGCAGCAGCAGCAGAGAAGTGTGCAAATCCTTTGCAGCCATGTCAACGGTCACTCGCAGCGCCAGCGCCAGCCCCTGCATGGCCCTCAATGGCATCATCGACGCGAGCCTCTTTCCCCTCAAGTCCACATCGGATGTGGTCAATCTCTTTCGGCGCGCCCTCACCAGCTCCATTGAGCCGGACCTGACGCTTCTCTCAATTGTCGTCGGCTACATTGAGCTGTCGCTGACCACGGGCGAGGCGGCCCAAGCGGCGCAGGCAGCCCAAGCGGCTCTAGGTGAGTGTTGACAGCCTCCCCTCCCCCTACCCCGTACCCCTTACCGCTTAATTCCGAAAATTGCTTCCTAATATTTAAAGGGTTTTTTTTAAATTTAAAATTTAAAATTGCATAATAAAATGAGTGTTGATAGCTTCTTCTCCCCTCCCTTGCCAATTAGTTCCGAATATGAGTTCCCACTCTTGAAAAGTTTTTTTTTAATTTTTAATTTAAAATTGCATCATAAAATACTTTTAAAATGTTTATAATTCCCTCCCTCCCTCTCTTCCACATCAACTCCGAAAATGGGCTCCAACTTTTAAAAAGTTAATTTTATTAATTTTTTGTTTAAAATTGCATCATAAAATATTTTTAAAATGTTTATAATTGCTGAAATTTTTTTTTTACTTTTATTTTTCATCATAAAATGAGTGTTGATAACTTTCATATCGACTCCGAAAATTAGTTCCTACTATTTTAAAGTTTCTTTTTTACATTTTTATTTAAAATTGCATATATTGCAAATGTTTTCTCAATTACGAGAAAAAATATTTTTCTAATTTTTATTGAGATGTTATAACAAAAAATATAAATCTTTGGTTTTAAAAAGTTTTGAAATTTGGGTAATATTAAATTTTCTTGTAAGCTCCAATTATTCCATTTATGAAACATAATCAATATTTTATTCTATATTTTCAATCTAAATTCTAAAAGTGCTTGTCAAACTGTGTTTTATTCAGTGTTGGTAAATGTCAAAAAAAGTTTAAATTTAATTTACTTCGATTTTCGAAAGTTTTTTTTTATGTTTTATGAAATTAGGAATTTTCTATAAGCCGTCACAGGATAGATACAGTGAAAACTCGTCGGAACGGCTCCAGTTCTTATATCCTACATAGAGAGGTCGTATTTTTTTAAAATATGTTTTAAACATTTTCTATAATTTTCTTACTGTTTTTTACTGTAACTGAAAAGGTGAAGGTGAAGGTCAAAGGTTGGCAATAGTGAAGTTGTTCAGCCAGAGGAGTCTTCACTGTATTCAGAAGATTTAAAAATTGCGCCGAAATGTTTTAGCATACTTTTTAGAGTACATATTAAAAACTATTTCACGTCGATTTCGGATTAGCTAAAAATGTGTGAATCTGGAATGCGGAACACGCGCTGCTGTCTATTTATTTTGATTGTTTGATTTGATTGCGCAATAATCGCTTTTTTCCAATTCGAAATTGCGAAATTAGGTGGCGGCAGTGACGTCATCATGGGCAACAGCGTGCCCTTTCCGGTGGTGACGCACGAGCTGATTGCCGGGCTGTATAAGAAATTCCAGACGATATTGTCGGTGGTGGACAAGCCGAAGCCGCATCGCCAGGCGACGCGCGAGATCATCAAGAAGGTGTCGGACGTGATATGGAACTCGCTGATAAGGAGCAGCTACAAGGATCGGGCGCATCTGCAGAACCTCTACAGCTATTTGTCGGGCAACAAGCTGGACTGCTTTGGCGTTGCGCTGGCCACCACCGCCGGCTGTCAGCTGCTGGGCTATCGCGATGTCCGGCTGGCCATTTCCGAGGATCACGCCTGGGTGGTGTTCGGCCAGAAGCATGTGGAGAGCATTGAGGTCACCTGGCACGGCAAGGGCAGCGAGGATAAGCGCGGCCAGGACATTGGCGCCGGCATCGAGTCCGGCTCGTGGCTCTATCTGGGCGGCCTGGCCGTTGTCTGCGAGCGCGGCATGGAGGTGGCCGCCATCTGTGTGGCCCTCAACATCTCCCTGAGCGCGAACAGCGATTGCGTCGAGGTCGCGGAGCTGCAGCAGCAGCTGCTCTGGCTGCTCTACGATCTGGGCCATCTGAAGCGCTATCCCATGGCGCTGGGCCTGCTCGGCGAGCTGGAGGAGATCCATCGCACGCATCGCAGCATCAGCAGCGAGCAGCTGTTCCGCGAGGCCATCGAATCGTCGCGCAACCATTACCACAACCATCATGTCTATCCGCACATCTTTCAGGGCAACTACTACAATCGGCTGCTCAAGTATCGCGAGGCGTTCGCCGCCTGGGCCAATGCCGCGGATGTGATCAGGCTGTACACGTATCAGTGCCGCGACGACGAGGAGATCTACAAGGAGCTGCTGGACATTGCCAACGAGCTGATACCCTATGTCATGAAAACGGAAAGCTCCGGCCACTCGGCGCGCAGCATTCTGCGCGACGCTGAAGTTTTTGCCAATCTGTTGCGCTTCTACGACGGCATCTGCCAGTGGGAGGAGGACAGCCTGACGCCCATTCTGCACATTGGCTGGGCCAAGCCGCTGGTCACCAACATTACCAAGTTCGACTACGATATACGATCGCAGGTGGTCATCAAGCTGCCCGAGGATCTGGAGGCGGAACAGGCCGCCGCTTTGGAGGCTAAAAAGGCAGCGGCAGCTGCGGAGGCGTCGCTGCATTTGGAGGGCAACAACAACAACAACAACACGGTTGCCAAAAAGGATGAGGTAAGATGCAGTTGCTCGAATCTATTATTGATTGAATGTCATAAAGGAAGCTGGCCTTAAGATTCATTTAGTATCATATCATAAAGGAAGCTGGCCTTTAAGATGCATGTTTTATAAATATTCAATTGATGTTGGATACCCATTGAATATGGAAAAATAGGGTATAATGTTTATGCATGTAACAGGCAGAAGGAAGCTGCTTCGATGCCATAAAGTATATACACTCTTGATCAGGACCAACAGCTGAGTTGATCTAATCATGTCCGTCTACCTGCCTGACCAAGCTCACAGCTTGGAATGCACAATATATATTTTCGTAATCAGGCATATAACGTTTATCATTTTTGTCGATTACTAACCTCATTTTCATTATATCGATTTGGATTTGGCATGTAGATATTTGTTCAGAACGGTATATAAACACCGAAGCTATGAAGGAATACACAATAAGAATAAAGACGAGAAAGAAAGGCTATAATAATACCTTAATACCTTTGCAGACCCAACCTGTAAATAATACCCATAATGCTTTGCCCATATCTAAGAAGCGCAGGGAAAATATTTAATGCCGAGTATGGTCAAGATATCTTGATAAACAACAAAGTTTTTTATAGAAAAACCTACTTTTCGACGGATCGGCAGCTATATGATATAGATGTCCGATCCAGCCAGTTCCGACAGATTTATTGAGAGCAACATAAAGATGGACACCTGCAAAGTTTCATGACGATAGCTTTAAAACTGAAAGACTTTATCAAATTAAATCATGGCCTTATCAACTCGGCTGTTGATACTGATCAAGAATATATATAGAGAGCGAGAGATGTCTTCTTCTATGCGTTACACATTTCGATCCAAAATTATAATACCCTCTGCAGGACTATCAATATATAAATAAGCATGAACAGCACGTAGCTAATATTCCTATTAAACCTATTGACAGAAACCCAAATCGGAGCTGCCGACAACTTTGGCGGATTTGACGGCCGCCTGTGGCGAGAAGATACTGAATCCAGATTTTTTGCTGCAGGGCGGCGGTCAGCCGTTCGCTGACCAAAAGCAACAAGCGGCCGCCGAGCAAACAACGTCCAGCGATGTGTCGCACAACAACAACAACAGCAGCAGCAGCAAGGAGGCTGACAAGGAGGCTACAACAACAAGCAACGGCGGCGGCAGCTTGGCGCAGTCGCCGCCCACCGAGGCTAGCAGCGCCAACGCAACGCAGCAGCAGTCGCAGTCGCAGCACAAAGAAGCTAAATTGGAGGAGAGCAGCCAGGTGGAGCTGGCGAGCAGCAAGCCAGCCGCTGTCGATGATTACGATCCCTTTGAGATAATGCTAAAACGTCCGGTGATCACGCTGTACAGCCAGAAAATGAAGGGCCTCAAGGATCTGCTCCTTGCCGAGAAGCTCAACACGCATGCCATCTCGCTGCAGGTGACCGCCCAGTCGGTGGCATCGCGCAAGGTGCGCGGCGGCGCCGACAGTCGACAGCCGGCGACCATATCGGCTACCATAACGGCGATTGCCTCGACAGAGGGCGGCGGTGTTGGAGGAAGTGCGGGTGCTGGCAACGCGACGAGTGCCACGTCGTCGACAGATTCGATTGCACCGTCGCGGCCGAAGCGTACCAGACGCGAGTAAAAAAACACCTATTGAAGGAACCTGTAGTAATTTGTTGTTTGTAATTATTATATATTTATGTGTATGTATATCGTATATTGTAAAGTTTGCTTCAAACTAGCAACGAGTGAAGACTCGCTGTAATTGTTGTCGGCGAGTGTTTACCCTAACTGCGAATTGTTTTCTCGTTGTGGCTTAAAGCATGTATTATAAAATGTGCTTTAAACCAGCAACAAGTAAAACACTCGCTACTCTTTGAGTCAGCGAGTGCTCTCCTTAACTGCGAGTTGTTTACTTGTTGTGGCTAAAATCATGTATTATAAAATGTGCTTTAAACCAGCGACGAGTAAAACACTCGCTACTCTTTGAGTCAGCGAGTGCTCTCCTTAAATGCGAGTTGTTTACTCGTTATGGCTTAAAGCATACATTATGCAAATGTGCTTTAAACCAGCAACGAGTAAAACACTCGCTACAATAGATGTCAGCGAGTGTTTACCCTAACTGCGAATTGTTTACTCGTTGTGGGTTGTCAGCGACTTTTAACTGTGTGTGTGTTGGCATTCGTTTGACACATGCGATAATATTAATCCTTTATTATTATGCATATATATATGCACTATCAATATTTTCGATGTTCGATGTGTATTTATGTAGTTTGTAAGCGCGAAACAAAACCGTTAGAGAACGCTTAGCGTTTTAAAAAGAGACACACACACAAACACACACACCAACATAGCTCTCAACTATTTATAAAGGTTCGCACATGGCGAGTTAAGCTCAAAAAAAGTAGCGATTGAAAGTGAGAGAGCAAACGAATGCAGCGAGTCCTCCACTCGCCATTTGTGCTAGAACGTTTAACGTATTGTGAAACCTGTTAAAACAATTAATTTTTTTTCACTCGTATTTATTAATGCAACTTGTTTCCCCCTTCCTCCCGAGAAAACCTTGTTTTTGCTTAAGCTCAATCGTAACTTTATTGGTGCTCTTCTTGAGAAAAAAACAAAAAACAAACAATTGAAATATGTATAAAATGGAAATAACGTATGAATGTATGTGTGCATGTTTTTACTGCAACGACTTGATGCATTTTATGAGGCTAAGCTGTTTAATTTAATTTACAGATTGTATACATGCATGTTTGTAGTTTTATTCAACCTAAACAAATCTGAAATCGAAACACAACCGCAACCGTAAACATAGAACATTTTTGAACGCAACAGAAAACATATTTAACACTTCCTCTCTATATGTGATAAACTGTTTTTTCTAGAAAGCTTTCAAATACTATATGTACTAGATACGTATTTAATCATACACACACACACACACATATATATATTTATCAACTTAAACACTAAATAACTAACACACACACACACACACGAGGGCCGTGCAACTTAAGGGATGAGGGACGCGGCATGCACTTTTTAAATACTTGATCAAAAATACCAGCACCAGCTATGCAAGAAAAAGTTATATATATTATTTTTTGAAAACTTTCGAAAAGCAGCACTTATTAGTATTATAAAAAAACAAAAAAAAGAAAACAAAAATAATTATATATGTTATTTGAAATATCCTGTAATCAGTTATGCGCAGTCGTAGGACATGACATTTTCTAAAGAGGTCAGAGCGTGAAGTTTTCAAGCATAATGGAGCTTAAAAAAACAAATTGTTAAATGATGATAATAATTGCATTTTTATTTGTGCGTTGTGCGTCTGTGATGAATAATGTATAGAGCAGAAACAGAATGAGGAAGAGCGTTGAAGCCCATTTAAAAATTAAATCCAAAACAAAGCAAACAAAAACACAAATCGAACAATAAGTTCAAAATGGTATAAACAATATTCAAATGTATGGTGTTTTATTCCTTTATAAAAAGTAGCATATTTAAACAGAAATAAATCTATATTAATACATATGTAGATATATTTTGGCATACAAAATTTATAAAATAAGCTGAAAACCAAAAACAAAAAAAAACAACAAAAATATCAAAAGAAAAGCAACAGTTTTGGCAAGCGAAAATCCAACTAAAACAAAAAATAGCCTATGCAACAAAACAAAATTGCAATAAATCAAAAGCATACAGCAAACTATTTATTATAAATGTTAACGTTACGTACATTTCAACTGCTCAATAACCCTATTAGCTTGAAATACAGATAGCCACAAGTCAAAATGTTAAATAAAAAATAAATAAATAAAATGCCTAATTCAAAAAGCAGCCAAAGAGCGCGCGCAATTCGATCAGACAATCTGGCAACGCTGTGCATGTAGTGCCGGCAAGCATGACGATTGCCAACATTGCTCAACACTAATGTATCGATATATCGTATTGTATGGACATCTCTAGACAAATGACTCGGCATCATTTCGGCTAAGCGTCAAATTGTCAGAGAGGCAAAAATTGTTTAACAATTAAAATTCAGCTTTAAGCCACAAACACACATTCGAAAAATGTCTGCGCCCGATAAAGAGAAGGATAAAGATAAGGAGGAGTCGAATCAAAAAAGCGAAGACCTGGGTCTGCTCGAGGAGGATGACGAGTTCGAAGAGTTTCCCGCTGAAGGTGACAATTTCATTTAATTTTTGCTTAGAAATGGCATTTGACAGGCCTTTTGCGTTGCAGATTTTCGCGTAGCCGACGATGTGGAGGAGCCCAACGTGTGGGAGGACAATTGGGACGACGACAACGTGGAGGATGACTTCAGCCAACAGCTGAAGGCCCATTTGGAGAGCAAGAAAATGGATACATGATTCGGCCCGCGTTCGTACCTAACCACACAATGAGCGTAAACAGTTAAAACTTTAGAAATAAACAATGGATATATTAAGTCTACATCGTGCGTTCGCTAACAATTTTAGTGAAAACTAATTTGATGTGCTCTGCCGTACGCTGCTCCTCAACGATTTGTTCCTGCAGCGTAATCTTGCCCTGCTCCAGTTCGTCCACGGTCTCCGATTGCTGGTTAATTTCTGCTTCCTGTTCGGCGATCTTCTGCTTCGGCGTGAGTGCATCCTGCTCGTATTGCAGCTTGAGGGCTTTCAGCTCTTTCTCACACTGCTCGAGTTGTTGTTTCTGCTTCTCCTTTACGGCCAGGAAACCCTGATGCTTGGACATCACCGCAGCATGCTTCTTTTCCATGCGTTCCTTAAGCTTGAGCTGTTCTTTGTACTCGTTGAGCACCTCAGGCGGAAGTATCTGCATGGTCTTCTCAATTTCGTCGTTTAGCAGCTGGTTTGTTTCAATCTCAACGCGTCGCTCCTTGTAGAGCTCCTCCTGCTTTGACATTTCCACTTGGCAGCTCATTATACGGGCAACTATCGACGCGTTCTGCCTGTTGGGTGGAATAATTCCTAGTTCAATTAGCGAGCTGTGGATCAGGAAAACAAGTGCCACGAATCGAACCTCCCTCCAGGCAGGAAGTTGGTTCGAATCGTAAGATTTGCACACCTGGTTCTTATTACTTATAAGTTCACTTACGCTTCCACTTCCGCCACTTCGCTGTCCTGAACCAGCAGCTGCTTAAATTGCTGCACTTCGTTGGATATTTCCGTCAGCTGCTCCTCCTGCAGAGCAAACTCTGCTTGCTTCTGTCTTAGGATTCTGGACTGCTCGTGCAGCTCCGCCTCCGCCTTGGGCAGCTGCTCGCGCAGGCTGGCTATGTTGGCCTGCGCCTTGCCTATGTCAATCTTGATCTGGGCCGCTCTCTGTTTGCTCTGCTCCAGTTCGTTGCGCTTGGCCGTGATGGCGGCGATTAGGGCCTGCCGCTCCTTGTGCTGCTCGACAATGGGGGATAGGACCTCCTTTTTGTGCATCTTGTAGAAGCATCTGTAATTGAAGAGCACGTCCAGGGTGCTCGAAGTCTTCTTGGCCGCTGCAATTGTTAAATGTTTATTTAATTATTGTTGTTTTAATTTCTATACATGCTTAATGCATACTTGGCTCGATTATATCCATGTAGGTAAACATTTTGCCGGGAAAAGATATTTGCACAATGCGCTCCACTTGCCGGCACAGCTTGCTCAGGAACAGGCGCTTCTCTCTGGACGTATCCTTGGCCTCGTTCTCGATATTATACGGCGGCTCCATTCGAAATCCAAACGAACGCAAATAGTGTATCAGGACCTTGGTGAGAAATGCCTCTGTGGGATGCGATACCTCGTTGAGGCGCACATTCAGCTCGGGAAACAGCGAATTGGCCGTCGCGCAGATCAGCTCCAAGGCTTCGTTATTATTATTCATAATTGCTTCAAATGTTATTTACTTATTTTGACTTTTCTGCGAACGCGTTAATTAGCCGCTTTGAATTGACTCTGGCTTCGATAAGGTAACAATGTTTACCCGATATATCGATAGGTATTTATCACAATACTTTTGAGTGTTGTAAAAGACTTGTAAGCGTCAGCTGCTGGATTAACGGTTTTTGAAGTGCAGTTACCTTAGAAACGATGCGTGGTTTTATTTTGTGTGCTAATGTGAAAAGTAAAAAATGACATCCTCCAGCGCTGTGGAAGACGAACGGCTAACCGATTCGGATTTATCCGATGATGAGGGTAATTATTAACATTAACGCTTCACGCTATTATTCACGTTGACTATCCCACACAGAGCACAAGGTGGAGGTAAAGCAGGAGGAGATTCGTCCGCCAACGCCGCGTCCAACATATACTGATGAAGATCTCAATCAATTGCTTGAGTCTATACAACGCATGACCACGCTGTACTCGCTGAATCAACAGGATTGGCATGAGGAATCGCTGGATAATATACGCCGCTGGCTGCTCGAGGTCAATGAGCCCTTGCTGACCATTTTCTATGCGGACAATACCCTCACCGCTTATCTGGGCTTTCCCACCAAGCCGGTGGATGACATAAGCTACTTTTTTCGCGGCGAGCCCAACGAGATATTCACCGTCGATGGCTTCCACGACGAGATTCACTTTGGCACCATACACAGCGATGTCGATGGCTGTTGGATGCGTTTGCTGGAGCGCTTCTATGCGCCCATCTTTCGCAACTACAAAGACTGGAACCAGACGGTGCGCGCCCGCTTCTGCGCCAGCCTCGACAAGCTGTTGGCCTTTCTGTTTGCCATGAACTCCAAGATGGGCGGCATATCGGCCCTCTATGTGCCATTTGTGCTGCATCAGATTGGCGGCGAGCAAATTGTCTGTGACAGGCCGCTGTTCAAGAGTCTGGAAAGCATTGCCGTCTACTGGACAACCCAGATACGCACCGTCCTAGGCGATCGCACTCTGATGGCGGCCAACGAGTTGGCCA